ACTCTCCACAACTACCACATATACAAACAAATATATCTAAGTATATTTTTCTAAAAACATCACATATATCTCTAAAGATTATTAAACTTGGCAGTTAAATAGTAGATATATTTATATATTCTCTTATAAAATTTTAGATCAAAAGCACTTCAATAGCTCAAACCACTCAAGTGTTAAAATTAATATATAATTATGCTAATTTTACGCCTAACTTCAAATAATTTTAAGAATTCACCTACTTATCATATCAAGTTTAAACTTGGTCATCTTGACAAATACTCATACAAGAAATATTGATAAGCGTTTCACATTAAAAGCTTGAATGTGGAGTGAGTTCTATTGCATGTAAAATCAGCCAATGGGCATGGATTTTAGAATTTTTAACTCCTTCATTCCTCAACATAAAATTATGAAATTTAACAGTTAAACTCTTAACATAAAGGTATACATGTCATTAAAATTTCACATTTTTCTCATTCATATAAGTTGACTTATTCGAGTTTAAAATAAGCAGCTGAAACTTGGTATAAAAATTTAATTTACATGATAAACTTTAAAAATCATTAATTCAAGCTATACTTAACCAAATGACCTAATTCTTGTTCTTATATAATCATCATTTACATAAGAAATAACCATATGAAGTATACTATCCCAAGTTATTCATATCATGTTAAAATTTAAATCAAAACAGGACATATATAACATGGAATTGAGTTGGAGATAACTTATCATTTTTCATGCTTAAATTTTTCTTAAAATTTAATATATATGACATGTAAATACATCATTATACACTTAATCTCAACACATGATAAAAAATTTAGCATCTAACCTCCTTCAAGAAATTTGAATATGAAACTCCGGAAGTTGATCTCGACCTATCTTCAGCAAGATTACTCTCGATTTTTCTTCCTCACTCTATAGCCAAGACTTTGCTTATTTTGGTGTGATTTTCGATTCTAAGTTGATTCCCCTCTATATAGAGGAGCAAAGGAGACAACATCACCTTATTTACATAAACACTCCATCATAATAAACACCATAGGGCCCTTGTCATTAAAGTTTTTCTGAAATTGTGCACAAAGTTGAGTAAGCTTTGAAAAGTACTTGTAATGCATGATTCATCTTGTATATATCAAGACAAAACTTTTCTCTTTGACTACATCTTGATATGGCTCGAAATTAAGCTAAAATGACTCATTTATTACTTGAGAATACTTAGAAAAGTTTTTATAAAAATAAATAAAGATAATAAATGAAATTCATAACTTGTAAATTTTCCCAATCTATAGTCAATGCTTAGAAAAGACCATCATGTGATCCTAATATGATTTCCATGATAAAATTCGTGACTTAATGAAAAATATAGAATTTACGGAACCGAATTCCGACTTAAAACGAACGATTACCGTAAAATCGAAAATTTTAAATTTCTCGGTTTTGCTTTCTGCATTTTTCCTATTTATGCTAAAAATTTTATTTTTATCATTCCCCAACTTATAATAACATATCACATGATATATATATCACTATCAAGAAATTTCATGAGAAATAATATGGTTTAAATCTAACCCTTTATTTTTATTTTAAAAACAATATCACTTACTATTTTTTTTTCATTTAATCTAAAGTTGTGCTGATTTCCTTTCTGAAAATCCATGTTAAAGTTCATCTTGATGTTTACTAAATATATAGATAAATATAATTTTTTTTTCGAAACCGAAATCGGACTTAAATTCCGACAACAACCGAAAACTGAAAAAAAAACTAGAATATTTCGAATATACTCTTAATAATTTAAATAAACCATCTTATCTAAATCAATAGAACCTTATAACTTATCAATTTGATCACATACTTAGGAAATTTATATCATTTAGACGACTAACTAAATTTTTATGAAAAACACTTCCGATTTCACTTTAAAGTCGAGCAAAGTGAATCGGTTCTATTTATTAACTGAACGGGCGTTACATGTACAGTCTAGAACACGCTCAATAAACTTAAAACAATAGTCTCTTTAGGATCTTGAAAAATAGGCTAGTCTAAGTAGTGAACACAACCGCGCGGTTCACTTCAATAGGCCGTGTTATCCCCGATAATTACCAACTTTTGGTTGCTACTTATGAATTAAACTCAACAACAATTACGGATTGCAAGTCCAATTCTAGTGTTAGAAAACAAAACTTCTATCTAGGTGATCAATCTAAATAAAATCAAACACATCATCGTTGATCAATCAAAATAACGCAAACAATTTCATAGAAATAACAAAATAATCAATCACCGTAATTAATTAAATATAGCCAATTACGTAGGGTTCGACATCCCTGGAACTAGAAATAAAATGTAATCTAACATAATAAATAAAAAGGAAAAGAGAAGAATAAAATTATCATTCTTGTGTGCGAGTACGGTCTCTCTCCGCGATTGGTCGGGTTCTCGTATCTGTCCACATCTTCTTTCCGTTTTTCCTTCTTTTTTTTTCTCCTCCTCTGTTGCATGAATCCTGTGTGGCGGCTCTCTCCCTCCCATGGCATGCTTGAGTGAATCCCCTTTTATTTGGCTTAGTGAATTGAAATACAGTAAAATCTCGTTAAATTAATACTCGATAAATTAATAACCTTGCTAAAACTAATAATTTGTTCGGTCCCAAGTTGGGACCAGTAAAAATTTGGGACACAATCAATAAAATTATAAAATAATAATTTTTTTGAGATGCCAGTGTATATATATTGGTCCCGACGAAATTATAAATTAATATTTATTAAAAATAATCCATATATATATATGCACTTGAAGATTCTTAAGACAACATAGTAAAATAAGAATCTACTGTAACTTGCTTTTTCTTGAACTTCAAATCTATGTTAATCTCATCTTTAAATCTCCTTACTGCACCCAATAGTTGTGGCGTTGTCTTCTCGTACTGCAACAAAGGTTATGAAGAGTTGTTGATGCTTGCAATGCTTCTTTTAGAGTGACCGGTTGCAAAGCTATTGAATCATCCTATGCTTCATCATCTTTCGGATTATGAATGACATCGGATAGCAATGCTTCTTTTATGATGCTTCCAATGAACCGTATTTTTGTATTTTCCAAAGCCAATTAATTTAAACAAGTCATTCCAACTTCTACGTGAGTTTGTGTTCATGGAATTCTATTAGTATATTTGTATTTTAACTTAATTTTCATCAATAACTATGCATGTATACTTAAAGTTATTCAAAGAATTTGGAACTTTGAAGGTCAATTATGCATATACGTTAAAACCTCTTTAAATTAATAAATTATTAATTTATCGATATAATAATATCTCTATAAATTAATAAAATCTCAGTCCCAACATTATTAATATATATAAGTTTTACTGTAAGCCCAAGTGGACCCTCTCTCAATTTCCTCTTTCTTTCCAACTCTTGGTTATGTTGGGTCAATTCATGCTTTGGCCCACCAAATCTATTTCCCTCATTTTTTACTGTCGCACTTCAGCCANCCATCCTTGGGCCTGTGAAAATTGGGTAGGTGTTGGGCCGAGTATGGGGTGCCCCCGTACTGCCTGCTACAAATCTTCCTTCGACGTATCGTCGTCCATAAAAATACTCCAATATCCTGAAATTGAAACATAAAAATATCATCAGTTGTTGGTTGTTTGTATTCAGCTGGTGGCTGTATTTTTGCGCTTTTATATAATATCTCTATCGTTTCGAAAAAAAAACAAAATTAAGCATATAAAAATACGCAAATAAATATATAATATACACACATTTTTTTTACCAGTCAGAAGGTGTCACAGTAGGTACAAATTTTTCAAGTTCTTATACCCTATGCGGCTTAGTCTTCGCAAATCAGTCAGCCTTCCCGATCGTCCGCAAAACCATCGCTCCCCCACACAATTATAATTTGGGGTTGTGCAAGCACTTCACTCAAATACGTGCAGAAGCTATAAAGTAAATAAAGTGACACACGCAATATTACGGGCTCCACGCCTAACCAACGTATCATAATTACTCAATCGTACAATGGATTGCCTTTTAGCCTACACACTCGATCCCAACACACACATTCAAGCTATTTTTCAAGTTTTCTCGTGCATGCAGGAACACACTCTTTTTACTGGAGAGCCTAGTACAATCTGGCCTTACTCACGCTTTCAAGCATCTGGCTATACACTCCTATCAAACGCTTGCCAAAAACTAGAGTCGACCTTATAGAATTGGTCTTACACACGCTACAAACACTTTGGCGTATACCAACTCACGCCTCACTGGAACACAAGTCCTAGGATTGTTTCCTCAGTCTTTTGCATCACCTTAGATGCTCTCGTGTATCAGCTCACAATCGCTCAATGAGTTTGTTGAATACTAGAATATGACTTATGTCAAATGAATGGCTTGCCTCGTCTATTTATAGGCTTAGGCAACATAGCCTACAGGTGCCTAGCACGTGTCTAGGGATCTCTCAATAAACTCCCAACGTGCCTCACTTGTGTTCACGCTCGCCTGGTGCCAACTCAGCCCTAGTCGCGTTTGATCCTCAACCGCCCGCGCATTTTTGCATGACCTAGACCATTTGGAAACTAGGTCAATGACCTTCCCGAACATCTCACATACAAAGCCAACCAGGCCCTGCCACCTAATCAACAATGTTTCGAAACCCTACGGGTTAAAATCATCTGTGTCCATCTTGTGTCCCGCGCCTCCTCGACTTGGTCCACAACCGTCTCGACTTTTTTGCAACCAAACCATGTCATCTGGTCAACGACATTATCGAACCCTATGGGTCTATAACCCTCTCCATCCATGTTCCTGCAGCTCCTCGATGTGGTTAAGTTTGTTCCAAACCCTAAGAGAAGTAGGCTAACTGGTCCCGTGGCCGTTGAAAATCCTACAGGTAGCCCGCACTCGATAGTGGCCATTGCAAACCCTGCGGGTCGCACACCGCTCGGTCGTGGCCGTTGCAAATTCTAAGGGGTGTTCGCCACCCGGTTATCCCACATGCCCTATGATCTCGCAACCGTCAACCTTCTTAAGGCCATCGCCTCTTTTGGTCAACGCCTATTGTCGAGTTTCTCAGGGATTGCCTTAACCGACCAGGTGGCGCATCGACCGAGCTGCCTTCTCGTCCACGCACTCGCATGTAACCGTATCCCGATATTTCTGAAACCAAATCGCGAACCTACACATGGAATGTGCCTAAGTCCGTCTTTGCCTTCAATTGGCTAGCATAATCCCAAAGTCCGAGCCCACCGATGCGCGAGGGCATCACATCCCGCGCCTCATCCGATAGTCGAGCCCACATACGTGAAAGGCCTCTGAATAGCCTTCACGCCTTAGTGCCTCTGAGTCAAGCCCACGTGCCAGCAAGGCCTCGCCTAGCCCTACGGCAAGCCGTCATCTAACTAAGCCCTTCGCTTTTACCCCAATCTGCAACCGGATCATATCCGATAGGTCATCCACCATCTGAACCCACTAGGATAGTTGGTTGGGCCTCACACTAGGTCGCGCGACCCCCTCACGTGTTCCCCACATGATCCGACCCAACCCTTTTGAGAGCACTGTCTTCCTCAAGATGGGAAAAAAGACAAATTGTGGAATCTAGTCAACAGACATTGAAAATCTGAGTATCGCATAAGTCTTCGTTACCTAACGAAATGCTCGACTAAACCTCCATTCAACGCCTGATTGCGTAACTTGGCCTGCAACTCGAGTCCTTTTCAAGTTCGCCCGGATCCTCCAAATCTTTTAAGCATTCTTTCCCTTATTCGACGCCGCACATACAATTTGCCGACGCCTATCAACCCATGGCACACTAAGGGTAATGCGCTAAGTTGATTCTCAAAGTTCGGCAACATCGGGTTAGGTGAAATACGAATCGCCTGCCGAACTCACCTTAACGTACATAGATACAAAACCTGATTCACACAAATTAACTTTAATTTAACTTATTTTAGAGAACTGGAGGATCCACTTTTATCCTTTTTACCTTTCATTTTCTCTTAGCCCGATAAGAACGGGCGAACTCGACCCATGACGTAATGCCTTGTAGCCCATTAGAATGGCGAAACAGAAAGCCCATAAGCTTGTCTCTGTGTTCTCTTGTTACATACTCAGCTTCAGTCTTCATCTCCTAATCCCCCACAAGTAAAACTCAATTCAATTCAGCACCAAATGGATGAGTACCCGGAGGAGCTCCGCACGCCGCCTGTAGCCTTGTCATGTGTGGTGGGCTGTCCGGAGGTGCACGGCTTGATCGCGGCGCATCTCCACTCGCAGCAGCCCCCTATGAACACCATCGCATTGCCCGATTTCGCTAAGATCTCCGTGATCCCAACAAGAAAGCCTCCGCGAGATATTTCTGAACCCATCGGTGGCGTTATCAAGAGAGATTGGCTTTCCAAGCACCGGACTAGGATTCCCGCCGTCGTGGCTGCTCTCTTCAGTTCGTCCGATATCTCCGGTGACCCCGCTCAGTGGCTTCAGGTCTGCAACGATCTTGAAAACCTCAAGTACGCATCCTTTTTTTTTTTTTCTGTTTATCTCAAAAATTATATTCAAACCATTATGCTTATTGCTCCAGTTATGCTGCCATTGACTATTGTTATCTTATAAAATCATTTCATGAGCAGGGTCACAATCCGTGGGAGAAACATCAGATTGGTGGTGGTGGTTGTCTGTGAAGCAGGCCATAAAGGTCAGATAGATTTCACGTTTTTGGTGTTATACTTCCGCGAGCATACAATATACATTTAGTGATATGAATTTTTGAGCCTGCTGGCCACATTTTGCTTTTGGATTGATCCTTTCACTTCAGTAGTGTGTGAAACTTTTGGCGAGCTCAGTTATTTCAATTTTTGTTTCTAGCTATGATGAATCGCCTGTGTTGCTGTGCTATATTCCTAGTTCTCTTTCTTGATCGTTGCTCTTCTTATATCAACTTTATCTTAATAAGTTTAGGCGCTTTCTGTCTTATAAAAGGATACTAGGCTTGGTTCTTAGAATCTATCGGAAGCTCAACTTGCTTTTAGTATGTTAAGGTTTAGCTAGTGATCTTTGTCCTACTAGTGACTGCAGTGGTGTAATATGGTGTACCAATGGTCTGTGGTCACAAAATTCAAAAGAGAAACGGTAGATTAAGGATATGAAATCTTCATATTCCCTAATATTAATCACGTATGCGTTAACCCAGAACATAAAGCATGCTGGCCCCGTTGTCTTTGACAATATTGAACACCGTGAAAATTCAATTGTGAGGTTCCATTGATCTCATTTATCAGTCTTGCTTCTGCATGTTACTCCCAAAATTGGATTAGAAACTTGCATTATCGTCAGTTATGGGGATTCATGAGCTTGAAGTATGAAATAATAATATGATTGCTGGGTATTCACCTATTCGGTACTGCTATTCCCACCACTCTGTTTGTTGTCTATTTTGTATGCCTTATCTTTATAAGATCGATCAAAATCATCAGAAACATCATCAATATCAGATGGACGTTTAGAAAAAATTTCTAAAGAAACACTAAGCTGATAAATTTGATCAGATATAGAATTAAATTGAGAAATTTTCTCAGCAGAAGGTGTTTCTTGTTTAAATGAACTATGGGAATCTCAAAATTTGACTTTTTTCAGCTGAAATTTCTATTGCAGATGACATAAGTGAAGATCGCATGATTGCGTTGCGGAAACGTGCGGAAGTAGATTCTAAGAATTTAATTGTTTTCGTACCTGATGATCCATTGGAGCTTAACCAATCTCTAAGCAGGCATGTTACTATAATAATGCTCTTATCCGAGTTTCTTGTGCGTCCTTTTTACCAACTGTCCTTAAAGTTGGAGAATATACATTAGAAAAACAAATTTGCCTAAAAAAATATTAAATGAGTTCTCTTTCATCTACGCTTTTGAGATTCGTGAATCCTGATTAGCTATATCACTGCAGGCTCTGGACAGCATTTGCCGATCTGGCAAATACATATTACAGAGATGAAGGACGAAAATTAAAAATGCGCCTTGAAAAGAAAAGTTTCAGTTCGTTGGAGTTAAATGTTCGTTACTGTTTTAAAGTAGGTCCTCTTTTTGTTTATTACTTCCCCCCTTCTAAGATCATCTAGTTCCCTTGGTAGTTGATGTGAAATTTTCATTGAGTACTATCATGTTTCTATATAACATTTTACATCTATTATTTTCTATATGAAATCCTGCAAATATCTACTTTTTCAATTTGTATACTGCAATTTAATTGTATATGAATTTAAAAGCTTAAGAAATGCACCTGTATTTTCTTGGCTAGTGTTTGACACGAAATATCTGTGCTTTTATCATCCTTAACATATCGGAAGTACACATTTATTTAAGCATGGTCATCTTCCTTTGTGTACTATTGTACTCAAATTAATCCTCCATTTTATTTCTTCTCTTATGCTATCTAAACCTTATCAATTGCTAGGTTGCCGTGTATGCAGAATTTCAAAGGGACTGGTCTGAAGCTCTGAAGATGTATGAGGATGCATATCATGCTCTGCGAGAGGTACCCTCGACAGTCTAAAGTCGCAGAAAAGTTTGATTTGCTAGATGCTGATGCATTGGTCAATATGACAGACTCATTTCATTTTAGAAGAAAATTCTTGTTTTCAGAGATTTTTGTGATTACAGGACTTCGGCTGATATTTGGAAACTTCATATCATATTCCAACAACACAATTTAAAATGGTGATCTATGTTCAGCCATTAACAATTTTCAAGTTGCTTAGAAACTAATATTTCACTTGACAAATGAAATGGTTTGAACTCAATCTTCAAACAAGATCCAATTTTATTCATGAACTTTTTCTCTTTGATATGTGGACAGTCCCTCATGCAGACAAAAGGCTGTCTCTCAATAAATTACAGATGCTTTATAGGTATTTTTCTAGAAAGGGTTCAATGTTGTTAATTTGGAACCGTTAGTCTAATTAGTTCCCTTGTCATGCGGCCCCTGTATTATCAGTCTATCCTTTCCTGTGTTGCCTTTCGTATTAACTTTCTCAGTTTTTGTGCCCTTTACACGCTTGTTCACGTGAATCAGTTGTCCTCACCATAATTGACTTCAATTTTGAAGTTTCAAAGAACCAAATTGCAAATGCTGACTCTGAATTATCATCACTTTGATTGCATAGATTAAGTTCACGATAAAATATATGCAGTTGCATCTTTTTCTCATGCAATTCTTCCTTGCCGCATTTGCGTCTCTCATTATAACAGCTGGTTGGAACATCTACAAGAATGCCTCCAATTCAACGCCTAGTTGAGATCAAGACTATTGCTGAACAACTGCATTTTAAGATGTCAACATTACTGTTGCATGGTGGAAAAGTTGCAGAAGCAATTGTTGGGTTCCGTCAGCACACTGCTAATTATAGGAGACTTGAGGGAGCTCCAGAAGTTATATTTCTTCATTGGGAGTGGTTAAGCAGGCAATACTTGGTATTTGCTCAACTGTTGGAGACAAGCTCGGCCAGTGGTATGACCTTTCCAAGTATGGCCTCGGTTCCTTCTGATAAACCAACAGAATGGGAATTTCAACCAGCTTACTATTATCAGGTGATAGTTATTCCATCTTCAAAGTTAAAATGTAAACTTTATATCTTTTTAATTACATCTTTTCAATCTGAAGCAGTTGGCAGCAAGTTACCTGAAGAAGAAAAATATATGCTTGGAATTTTCGCTGTCAATGTCAGAAGATATTCCAGCTGATGGGAGCGCTGAGTCTGTGGTTGCTTCAGTATATCATGGTCAGTTTGCCCGGTTACTTGAGCGTGAGAATACATACATTATGCTACCGTGAGTTCAACAGGCCTAAAATTCTTAACTTTCGCTCTCATAAAGTTATCCTATGACATCTCATTGAAGTTTTGAATATTTTCTTGAATCAATCTGCATGCAGCATGACCGATAAGGAGTATGTCCATTATACACTTGTTGAAGGGAAGAGGTTCCAGGATTCCTTTGAAATTATTGCTATCCTGAAAAGATCTTACGAAGCATACAGTAACTTGAAGGCTGAGAGGGCAGCTGCCTATTGTGGACTCGAGATGGCTAGGGAATATTTTTCAGTTAGTGATTTCGGTAATGCTAAGAAACTTTTTGACCATGTTGCAAGTCTTTATCGACGTGAAGGCTGGCTCCTGTCGTTGTGGGAAGTCTTAGGTTATTTACGCGAGTGCTCGAGGGGGATTGGTTCAGTGAAAGATTTCATAGAATACTCACTTGAGATGGCTGCACTGCCTGATGTAACTAATGCTGGGCCTGCAACTCTTTCACAGAGAATAAAGATTCACGAGGAAACGTTTGAGGTTGCCAGGGGAGAATCTGAACTTACTTTAAAAGAGAACAGTTCCCTCAAAGTAAGTAGTGATTATCCACTTTATCTTGAAATCGATCTTGTGAGTCCCCTACGGTTGGCACTTCTTGCTTCGGTTGCTTTTCATCAACCATCAGTTAAGCCCGGTGCCATGTCTCTCGTTACTATATCACTTCGGACCCAATTGCCTATGAATATCGAGATTGATCAGTTGGAGGTGCAGTTTAACCAATCTGAATGTAATTTTATCATTGGTAATTATCAGAAGCCAAACATAGCTGGAATTTTGAATGTACAACCAGGTCGCCGAGTTGAGACAGCTCCTACTCTGATTCTTACTACAAACAAATGGTTGCGATTAACATATGAGATAAAATCTGGTAAGTTTATGCGTAATTGCCTCTTACTTCCTAATTTCTATCTTGTGTAATGAAAAATGAGAGTGTTATGTTTGGCATACTAAACGAGTGATCGGGTGTTCCACATGTGGGGATACCTGCCAGGGAATATTGAACCCAAACCCAGTTCATTATTTACTAATTCCAGCAAATAAAATCAATTGACTGTTCAAAGACACAAAACGAATTAATAATTACTGCTATTTCGAATATTTCTGCATTAAAATTGGTGCCACATCAAATGATGAGGATTGTGTCGTGTCATCATGCGGGTCCTACTTTTGACGTGCCATAATCATAGTTGTTTGATGTGAAAACTAGCACATGTTCAAATTATCTGACAGAGTTTACTCCTATTATGTATTCTATATTTTGTCATTTCTGTCAAAATTAATTGTGTTTTCCACTCCACGCCAAAGTAAGTAAGACTTTCTCGCGACTGATGCAGATCAAAGCGGGAAACTCGAGTGTATATACGTAATCGCGAGAATAGGTGCCCACTTCACAATATGTTGCAGAGCCGAGAGTCCTGCTTCAATGAACGAAATACCCCTCTGGAAATTCGAAAACCTACTCGAAACCACTCCCACCATCGATCTCGGCCTAGCATTCTCCGGGCAGAAGGCCATACAGGTAGAAGAGCCAAACCCACAAGTCGACCTAATCTTAAGCTCATCTGGACCTGCACTCGTTGGTGAAAGCTTTAGTATTCCTGTGACAGTTGCTTCGAAGGGGCACGCAGTTCATTCAGGTGAGTTGAAGATTAACCTGGTAGATACAAGAGGCGGTGGCCTGCTTAGCCCCAGAGACGAACCTTACTTAACTGACGATCTCCATGTCGAGCTTATTGACGTAACTTGCAGCGTGCCTGAAAAAAATCTCGAATCTCCTACGCCAAATAACATTCAGAAAATCCAACCATCTTTTGGGCTAATCTCCATCCCATCTCTCGATGTTGGCAACTCATGGTCCTGCAAACTCAAAATTAAATGGAACCGTCCAAAACCTGTCATGCTTTATGTCTCGTTAGGTTACTGTCCTCAGAACAGCGAACCCAGCGTGCAAAAAGTGTACGTACATAAAAGCTTGCAGATTGAAGGCAAAACTGCCCTTGCAATAAGCCATCGGTACATGCTCCCATTCAGGCAAGATCCTCTCTTGCTGTCGAGAATCAAATCCGTGCCCGAACCTGATCGATTACCCTCGCTACCTCTGAATGAACGAACTATGCTTGTAATCAGCTTCAAGAATTGTTCAGAAGTGCCACTCAGGCTACTCTCTGTATCTATCGAGGGTGACGAGACTGACAGCTCGTGTTGCGTACGGCCTCAGCATGAAGAATTTGAAGAACCCATAGTTCATGTCCCGGGAGAAGAGTTTAAGAAGGTTTTCGCCGTTTTCCCTAATGCAAACAGCGGAAGTAAGCTGAAAACCGGTACCGTTAGCCTGAAATGGCAGAGGTTCCCCACCAGAGTAGAGGATGATGAGTTTCGTTCTCAAGTTACGAAACAGAGGCTTCCGGATTTGAAAATCGAGCTTCCTCCTATTGTCGTGAGCTTGGAATGCCCGCCTCACGCGGTTACTGGGAGTCCCTTTGTGTGTTCTGTCAGGATTAATAATCACACGGAGCTTCTGCAGGAGGTCAAGTGCTCGATTTCTGATTCGCAGAGCTTTGTACTGTCTGGACCTCACAGTGATACAATTTACGTCTTGCCTGGCTCGGCCAATGCAGTGAGTTACATGCTTGTGCCACTTGGCTCGGGCTCCCTGCAGCTACCGAGAGTTACCGTGACTTCAGTGAGATACTCTGCTGGTTTACAGCCCTCGTTCACGTCTTCTGTCATTTTCGTCTACCCCTCAAAACCTCGTCTAGGGGCTTGTGGCGAATGACAAGACGAGAAAGATAGAGTAAAATCATTAGTCATCTACTTTCAGGGGTGAAGCAATTGCACCGCTGAAGGAGTATGTTGTGTGTAAGTGTAAACCCCTTTTTGTTTGAGATTATGTGTTGATTTGTTGATAGTATGTGAGAATAACTGATGGTCCTGTGGGTTGGAGGAGCAACATAGTGACAGTATTTGACCCATGGAGCCTTGGCATGAAAAAAAACAAAAATGAGGTTTTTTTTTTTTATTATTTGTTTTTATGTTTATTTTTTTTGTGGGAATGGAGGTGTGGATTTTTTCAGGCTACTGCAGGGGTGATTGGTTCCTACTGCCATGCAGATTTGTAGTGAACATGTTATTATTCAAGGATTATGAAGATTTCTAGTTATTTATTCCCATGTGCGGCTACTTTTGTATGTGAATGCATGGTCTTGTTCCAACTAAATGCAACTTTATGTATTGCATAAAATGTAGAATTGATTTTAAAGTCAATCTGCTCTCCAAAATTCACTTATGTCAGTCTCGTTCTGCTATCAAAATCACGCAACTTTCTTTTCTCTCTCTCTTTCCTGATATATTTTATTTGTCAGATATTGGATGCGTTTGAAAGCCTCGAGATAACTTGCAGAAAAAATGCTTTAAAGGTTTGTCTTCTGTCTCCGTAACAAATTTTCTTGTACTGTCAAGATTCATTTCTAGCCAAATTTATTTCCAAAAAAAAAATACCTGTTAAAAATAGTACTCAATAAAATCATAGCATATACATTTACTATATTTCATAAAAGCAAAATAAAATAAAATATATTAAATATGATTTCTAAATCTAGATTCAACAAACTTCCTCATTTTGCTTTTCTCAACAAAACAATATAAACAAATAAGAATAATAGTATATTCAATAACTTCCCTTAAATTAAAACACTTCGTCTAAATAAAATATTAAATTAAAAATAGTGATAGAGGGTTATATACAACTTTTGCCTTGCTGGTCCCAACACTTCAAACTTCTCCTCAAAAAAAAAAAAA